TGATTCTGTAGCACAGCGAGTGAGTTTCTGTGAGTTTCTGAGCCTGTAACTGTTTATGCAGTAGAAAGCCTCATCTTTCTCCTGTGGAGGGCCTGGTGGTTTCAAACTGCCAACCTTTCGGATCGCAGCCCAGCACATAACTACTGCACCATCAGGACTCCTTCCTACATCACTATGGCTCCTTTCCTTACTACACACCCTAAAGAAAACTCATCTTCGGGTTTCATGCTCTTAACTCTGGATAACACAAGAAGTTGAGGAAAGTGAAAAGATGATCCAGATTCCTTGTCGCTCCCTTGCCCACAAGATCTGGCCTGCCTCTGCCCAGCCGGTACTCAGACATCAATAAATCCCTCATTTTCTTCAAGGCAGTTCATCATTATTTTGTGCTTGTTTTTGTATTCTTTAGAAACTTGGGAGTAAGCTGATAGCACATGTTGTACCCAGAAAACCACTGCAGATACTCACTTCAGATTTTTCTGCTATTTCTAAACTCCCTTTTCTCGATGCTGCTACTGATAACATTTCTCCGCTATTCCTCCCCCACACTGCTGTCCTCCAGGGACCAGTCTCTCCCGATAACATATTGAAAGTACATAAGATAAAACCCTGCCATTCTTGCCTCCAAGGAGCACTCTGCTCATACTTCTTCCAGGACTATCCTCCCTAGTAAACAGTATCATTCCATTCTCATAATCTAGGGTGTGCCTGAAGTCCTGTCCCTCACCTCACCTACTTGCCATTAACCCTTGGTAAAATGCCCAGACATTAGGTAAGATCATGAGAGAGGGGCGCGGGGAAGGATGACTAATTCAGATTACAAAACTGTGTTTTCTCTTAATGCAATTGGGCCTGGAGCAGAAGCTCCCAGGCCCTTCCTGAGATCTGGTGGTTTTTTACACACCCTAAGCCTCAGGTTCCCAGCCTTGGAGCACTGCGGTACTGGCGGGGAGGCTCTGTTGCCTGAAGAGCAGGACAAGTGGGAAAAGGAGACAGGCATTGCTCTCCATGAAATCTATGGACAGTCGGAAACGGTAGGTGGACAGAATGCTTCTGGGTCAAACTGGGTATGCTCAGCCTTGGAGTTCGTCAGGCTACAAGTGTGTGCAGAGGTTCTCCTATGTACACAACCTTGATGGAAGCATACGGAAGGTTCCATAGATGTAGGCGGATTTGACAAAATCAATTTGCAGAAAGGTAACTCTTGACTCATCAG